TTTTAACCAAAAACCTAAGTATCTGTTAAATATCAGTGCAGTATGTATGCTGTTCCTTTGTAGCTCTGATGGGGATATTTCTGAGATCAGCAACTGCTTATAGTACTGTGTGAAATTTGAGATTGTTCTCCAAGCCCCGATAATTATGGGGACCACTGAAGTGTGTTTCCTCCACAACGGAGATGTTTCAATGGCCAGGTCCCTGTATTTTGTTAGTTTTTCCAATTCTTTATTTTCATCTCTGGAACCTCCCAGAATTGCAATGTCAACGATCCAGACATTTCTTCATTCTATCACTACTATGTCTGGAGTGCTATTTTCAAAGTGTCTGTCAGTTTGGATCCAGAAATTCCAGAAGATCTTGACTTCCTCATTTTCTGACACCTTCTCTACCTGGTGTTCCCATGGGTTTTTGGAGGTTGGCAAGTTACATTTTTTGCATAATGACCAGTGTCCTCATTTTGCCACTCTATCATGTCTAGTTTTCTAATCTCTTTGTGCAATCTTTTGACACTCACGGATGAGGTGTGATAAACTTTTATCTTTTTCTTAACAGAGTCAACATTTGCCATTAGCACTAATTCCTTGGATCTTAGCTTTCATCACATTGGTTTGGAGTGTTTGTTCTTGTGCGGCAGAAATCAAGCATTTGGTTTCTTTCTTATTCTTATTCTTATTCTTATTTCTTATTTTATTATGACCTTACAATCCTTTATCCTGGAAAAAGGTCCATGCCATAACCTAAAAACAAAAAACAAAAACCATATAAGTAGAAATCCTGTGATATTCTGGATGAAGCAGCAACCTGTCACCTGTGATCATCAGCCGTGCTAAGTGATGCTGATGGAAGCTGAACCCAACATTCAGAGAGCCAAATGTTCCCCATCCCCTCTTTAAAAGCTTCTGATGGAGTTGTGGCTTCTTTGGGTCTTCTCACACACAACCCCCACTGCTGAATTTGCTGCCTCACAATGGTTATTACTATTATTATTCCGTCTCAGCCGACCATGGTTCACACCATTTAGTAGTGTCTCCTGACCCTCTGTGCAGCATTCTGAGTGAGACAAAGTGGTTCTCAGAAGAGATCCACATCCACCAGCCTGGTTACAGACACTAAATCTGAACTCAATCCCATCAGATACTGTATGTCTGTGAAATAGCAGCACCTTGAAGTGAAGATTTTTAAACAGAGCAAAAAACCCAAGCTTAAAACTCAATAAAAGAGTGTTTATTTTGAAGATCAAAGTAGTTAAGACATCTGCTTTGTATCAGTTATGGCCCAGATAACAAAGCAAAATTACAGGCCCATTGAGGTTCTGCATGTCGTAGTATAACAACTGTAAATCTTTCAGCATATAAGAGTTCTGTGTGTGTTATTGCTGTACTTCCAAGAAAAGCAGTGTAGCCAAACGACTTGTGAAATCTGCTTGCTAGCATGTATCTCTCAGAGTTTTCAAGACATCAGCTTCCAAAAATTCTTTAATGTGATCCTCTGAAGCCTTTGGCAGTGTCCGAACTATTTCTCAGAACAACAGATTAGACTAAATTAAACAATCTCATCATTTTGAGGGACAAATCCTGCCGACAGCTCAATATGAAAATGTTACCTGGTTTCAAAGATTTTATTGGTCTAGCAACTGAGAGCTCCATAACAAGTCGAAAAGAGGACCTAAATGCCACAAATGGACCTTCCACTAGAGTATTATGAAAAGCAGTTACATCAGCTGCTTTTTCTATCTGAAACCTGGCTCAGCCTTAGGTCTTAACTCTTCTCAGAATTCCATGGGAATGAGTTTTTGTTCTGGACTTTTCAGTGTTCCGCAATAAAGAAAGATATCTAGTAGGTCAGAGAGTGCTGCTTGTGCTTTTCTTCTTCTGGAAGGAAACACACACACACACACACACACACACACACACACACACACACACACACACACACACACAGAGAGAGAGAGAGAGAGAGAGAGAGAGAGAGAGAGAGAGAGAGAATGGAATTCTGTTTTTATACACATTTGCAGCTTGTCTAAGCAGTTGTGCTCCACTGTATCCTTCTTTTCGAGCTGCTGCTCTCCTGCTGCCTCGGTGCAAGAAGAGCTAACTTCCCCTGGTCACTCCCCAACAACTTTTGTCAGCTTCGACAGACTGAAGAGAGAGTGGCTCCAAACGCCAGGGCCAGAGACAGCCTCTCTGAGACACACACCCATAGAAACAGACACTCCCACATGAAGGAGCAAAGCCTGCTCGCATACACAGCCGCACACGTACAATCTCCCTCGCACACAGGGAGCTGTAGATGTTCCCTCTCAGAATCGGGAGCACAGTCTCTCTCTCTCTTCTCTCTCTCTCTCAATCTCTCTCTCTCTTACACAGACATATACACACACACGGAGGCACACAGGTTCTCTCAAGAACAGACAAACTCGCTGAGCACACGCATACACTTCTGAACTCCCCAGCAAACTGTCTGGTGTAGCTGGCATCCTGCATGCCAAAGTCCTGATGTCACCCGTGAATGTGGGAAGTCTGCAGGAGTTGCCGGAGGGACAGCTGGATGAGGGGCAGCAGCTTCTATTAGAAGAGGACTAACTTTGCTGTGTGTGTGTCCACCTCCCTGCTTCTTCTTCCTCTCCCCAGCCTCCTGTGCACCAGATGCTGTTGCTACTGCTGCTGCCCATAGTGTGGGCACCTTTGCCAGTACATCCTCAAAGCCCAGTTGAGGTAAGTCAGTCCCCATCTCCTACCTCCAGTGTCTTTTCCTGCCAGCAGTGGCTGGTGGCTTCTTCGGGTTACAGCCGGTTGGCCGATCCTTCGTCTACTGAGGGATGGCAGCCTTTTTCCTGGCCCCACAGCTGCACTGAATTACTGCTTTAACCCATTACTGCAGACTAGCTCTTCCCACATTGATCTCCTACTCTCTCTCTCTCTCAGATGAGGCCACAGTGTCTTGCGCTGAGGCAGTAGGTTAAACAGGACAGGATGCTGAATCACCTCTGGATGCAGAGTTGTCTGAAGTTATTCTCAGGAAAAAAAGAGAGAGATGGCATGTTTTCCTCACTCCTTGTACAGAAGCTCACCAGACTGGACATTGAACCTTATTTTAATGCTGTTGATGAGGTAGCAGTTCCCATGACACCAACCAGCAGCCTAGTTTAGTGACCTTGGGCTAGGCCATGTGGTATGTACTCTCCTCCAAATGAGGAATGATGTTATCTGGCTGTTTAGGGCTATCCCCTTGGCCCCATCTGGTTCAAAGCTGGTAGACTGCGCATAGATGGCTATTAAAAAAAAGAGATTATAAGTAAATGCCCCAACTCGAAGTGAATAATTTCTTGTGCCTCCACTCATATCTTTGCCTCAGGAAGCCTTCACTTGTCTGACTTAAAAAACAGGCTGAGTTTCAGTCTCTAAGAAAATCTGATAGAAATGCAGGAATGTGGTATATTATTATTATACTTCTTGACCAGCAACTCTCGTCCTTCCTGGGAGGTTTTCTGCCTCTCCCATTGGGTTTATGGATGCTTTTCTGACTACAGTTATTGAATACTAGTCAGATACAAACTAGCTAGTCAGAAACAGAGGTCTATATTCTATTTCCAACAAGGCAAGTTTGCTTCTGTCCTGATACAAGACATTCCAAGGAAGTTTTGGTGGTGTTTTTGTGAGCTGGCTGTCAGGAAAGCAAGGAGTACTCAGCCAGGTGGGTAGTTCCTTGAGTCAGCCTAGTTACTTGCCCCTCTCCACCCTAAGATATTTAATGAAGCCTAGGAGAGGGAAAGGTGTTACACAGCATTCCCAAGTTCCATTGCCTGAGATGCCATTCTGCCTGTATGATGCCCAGACATGCCAACATTTGAAAGTCCTGAAGAGACAAACATTCACTTTAATTCTTGTTTTATTTTGGGTAACTCTTTCTGCCTCCCTCCCTCCTGCCTAAGAAAGCAGTATGACCTCTCTCCACATTATGGCCCTTGTACTCTCAATGATATTGTTTGGAGCACTTTGGGGAGAAAGGAAAGAAAGTATGTTTTCATAGAACTCCTTTGTCAAAAGCTATGATGGTTACTGGAATTCATTATGACAATAGCCCTTGATGGGCATTGTGGATCTATATTTATGAATCTACGTTTATCAATTATATTGATATTGTTTAATTCTTTCTCTCTCAATATTTTTAGAATATTGTAATTATTTAGGGGTTTTAAGCTTTTAATATTTGTTGCTTCAACATTGTAAGCCACCTTGTGTCCTCTTGAGGACAAAGGTGAGGCATAGATAGAAAGATAGATAGATAGATAGATAGATAGATAGATAGATAGAGAGAG